CATGGACTGGCAATAACAGGACTGCTCTGCTCTTGTCTCCAGCTGTCTACAGCTCCTGCGCTTTCCTGTCCGCAAAGGGGCACAGGGAGGGGAGCGTTTATGTAGAGCTGCTGGTTTGCATACGGCTGCCCCAGTGACTGCGACCTGCTCTGGGGAGCTGCTATGAACAGCCCAGTTTAATGCCTGGTGTCCTCAGGTTACGGCTGGGTTAGAGAAGTCAAGATGATCTCACAGATTCAGCTTCTCTGGCTCCTCGTCCTCTGGATTCAGGGTAAGAGCAGCAGCAAGAGAGAAATCAGTCACCAGAATAAAAACGTGCTGCCATAGTTACAATACAGGTGAATTTAGCAGTGGGGTAATCATCTGGCTTTGACATCCCCGTTTGATAGTATTTTGTAAATGAAGTTGGGAAAAGACAGTGTCATACTGGTAGTGGAAAATCCTTTTCCTAAGACTAACACCTGATGTTATTTGTCTGGCTTTTTTTTAATTATTATTATTATTTTGATAGTATTTTCCCAGGCAGAATCCAGCAGGGACATCCTTGTGACTCAGTCTCCAGAAGCCCTAACAGTGTCTCCAGGAGATGCAGTCACCATCAACTGCAAATGCCAGCTCCAACGCCTATGAAGCCATGGCCTTGTACCAGCAGAAACCAGGACAAGTGCCCAAGCTCCTTATCTCTGGCCTTACATCACGGCCACCCGGGGCCTCAGACCGCTTCAGTGACAGTGGGTCTGGCACTGATTACACTTTTACCATCAGCCGGGTGGAAGCTGGTGATGCTGGAGATTGTTGCTGTCAGCAGTATTATGATACCCCTCTCACAGTGCTACAGCCCAGTACAAACCCCCCTGCTCTGCTCAGTTCTGCTGCTCCCGGCACCAGCTGCTTCCTGCAGTCCCAGGCCAGCGACTCTGCCGACCCGTCACAGGGCATTGAGCCACATGTCGGCTGTCTCACTCAGTTATGCATCACTACTGGGATCTCATAGTCCACATGCCCAGAGGTGCCTGGCAGTGCTCAGCTGCCTCTTCGGCTTCTAAGAAAGTGTATAAAAAGCAAAAAAACCCTTAATACCTGTGGCAGCAGGAAAGGAAAGCATTCCCCCGTGGCCCCATGTGGCCACCAGCAAAGCCCAGAGGCAGGAGGAGACCGAACTCCCTCCACTCTGCTCCGCAACACTGGGACAGCAAACACAGCTCCACACATCACAAACCCTAACTAGAGAGCCATAAGCCCCCTTTCTCTCATCCTGCCATCTCTGCACACTTGTCCCATCTCTTTACTCTTCTTTTCTAACTACGTCAGTTTTGAAGCACTGTTTCATTCTTCTGCTGCTGAACATGGTCCTCTCCAATGTCCCCTGCTCTGGGCTGCAGAGCTCTTCCCATCATCTCCCAGCGCTGTGTCGGCGAGGGCAGGGGGCTTCTCCTGGGCTTCCAGCTATTGCTCTTCACAGCAAACTCCAGGCATTGTTGCTACTTGATTGTCCAGGGCCAATGCTTGTCCAATCTCTTTTTGAAACCTCCAGCAAAGGAGAATCCACAAGTTCCCTAGACAGCCTCTTCCACCAACAGGCTCTTCGGACAGGCACAAAGATTGTCCTGATCACATCACATGCATCCCTGGGAAGAAGGCTGAGAGGTGACTGAGTTTCATGATGTGAACACCTTTCCAAGGAGAAAACCCTGCATACGCCCAATGGCTCTTTTTAATCTATCAGAGAAAGATGCACTAAGACCTCCTGGAAGGCAGACGGGTTCATCTAATAGCAGCCTCTGGCCAGGAGAGGGCACGATGTGACTGCGAATCCCCGCAGCAGGCTACTCTGGACCTGGCTCTTTCTGACCGATGTAAGAGCAGGGCAGGTATCTTCCGCCCAAATCAGATCAGAGGGCCAGGCGGTTATACTGACCCACTGCTTTCCAAACACATCAGCTGACATTTCCTCTTTGTCTTGAGCAGCTACAAATACCTCAGTGTGCACTTTCCAGTCCTGTCTTTGAGCTCTGTAAGTGAAGGCTGCATTTGAGGCAAAACAAGGACATTCGGTCTTATGCACCTGCCCAGTGCCCTGGGACTTGACGTCCCCCATGCAGGACACAACAGCTCCTATGATGTGGAAGCCCTCCTTGTTCTGCTGAACGCGGGACCAACCTTGCCAGATGCTGAACAGCAAGTAGCAAAGGCCTTTGGGACTCTTCTCGTGAGTGCACCATCCGTGGGGTGCAGGTGGAAGATGCTGGTGACTACTACTGTGGGCAGGACTACAGCCGCCCTCCCACGGTGATGCACTGCGGTACAAAAACCTCCTGAGTGCTGCAGCAGCTAGAGCATGAGGTGGAAAAGGAGCAGAGGAGGCTGCTTCTCACACAATGTGCTTGAAAAATATGGAAAGAACAATCACGGTAATAAGGCTGGTTAGACTCAGATGGATTCATTGATTTTTGGAAAATCCCTTTTCCCAGGGGAAAATATTAATGGATGGCATCTCTCAGGGCAGGGCCTGTGACACCTGCATGTCAGGGCCTTAGTCATTGCCAGGCAGCTCCTCAGTGAGGAAAACGTCCGTCATGCAATTATAGATCCCTGAGGTTGGAGGAGTCCTCAAGGACCGTCTTGTCCCATCTGCTGCACAGGGGCAGGGCATGCTACGTCCAAGCTGCCCTAGACAGATGTCTACCAGCCTTGTCTTGAAATCCCCCCAGTGAAAAAGATTTCACAACTTCTCTTCAAACTACATCCTTGAGCCCTTGATCTGGGTTTTCATCCAGGAGCAGCACAGTCAGTCTTCAAAGATGACCTGTGGGTAGAGAAGATCTAGATAAGCCTCTGTTGGCATATGAGGCTCAGCCTGCTTATCACCCCTGACTCCCCACCCAGTCACTACTGTCTAGCCAGCAACACATGACCAACCATTTCCCTTACTTAAAGCCGGGGAGATGATGGAAATGTATCCAGGCCAGGCAGCCCTAGGGTCAGCTCTGATCTCTCTCTGCTCCTCTCCCATCCTGCTCTTCATCTCTGCTTCCCAGCTAGGACCAGGCTTTAGTTGCACGGCTCTGAGGTTACTGCCCCTGCAGCCTGTTAACCACCATCCCCATCTGGACCCCAGGCCTGACTGCCATGTCTTGGTGCCCGACTCCTGGGCCCATTGTCCTCTGCTTTTTATCTCTGCTTCATTCCCCCTTAGATCTACATCCAGTGTGAACGGTCCCACAGGAGCCCAATGTCCTGTTACCACTCGTGCACTCAGAGCTCACTGTGTGCCAGCCTGCTGGGCAGGGTTAGATGGAGAAGGGGCTGGATGCTGCCTCATCAGTGGTGTAGTGGTCAGAGATGTGCTCCAACCCCGTCTGAGTGCGGGGTGCCCAGAACCCAGCTTTCTAGGAAGGTGCCCCGGCGTCTCAGCTCCTGGGCCTAACACAGAGGAGCACCATTCTCCTGTGATCCGAGCACCTGCTAATCATGAGTTTCATGGCTTAGACATGGGTGCATCCAGAACAGGTGACCACGCACTGCCATGTATGTGAGCAGCCTCCTGTGTGTGCGCAGTCCATGTGTGCAGGCTTGTGAGCTGGCTCCTCAGGGGAAGTAGACCTGCTGTCTGCAGATACATGCCCAAGACACTGACACCACTTCTGCTCCTCCCAGGGGGCAAAGGCCCATGGCCTCCTGTGGAGAGTTGCACTAGGCTGTACTGTCCCCCGTGGAAGGGTTCCCTTTCCATTGGTTGGCACTGGGAGCACAGCAGACCACAGCCATCCCACAAGGAGCTGCACAGCACCTCCACAAGCCCCTCGGCCAGAAACAGGATCACAGCCCTGTTGAGCCCTGGAATGAGTGGTGCCAGCGTGGTCTCCTCCAGGGTTCACCTTCCCCAGCTTTGCCCTTCCAGCCCCTTTCTAAGAGCTTTTCAGTTTTATTTCCACCCAACACCGGGGCTGGTGAGGGATCAAGGACTGCAGCTGTGTCCAGCCCAGCCTGGGGGAGCTCCCACAGCCTTGACCCTGCATCCCCATGCAGGGACCAGTGTGAATGGTCCCACAGCAAAGGCGTGCTTGTCAGGAGGGTCGGGGCAGGGTGTCAAGACAACATCCTCCTGGGAGGGGGATCCTGGGGTGAATATACAGACACCAGCATGGGGGGGACAGAGCCAAATGGCAATAGGACACAAAGCACTCTCAGGACTCCTGGTTCATGGCCTGGGAGAGTCACCTGCAAGGTTCAGCATCATGGAAACATCCGGGGAGCAGCTTTACTATTCCAGGCTCAAAACCAGCCACGTTACTGTCTCGGACCGCCAGGGCCGACTCGACTTACGCTCGTACGTCAGGGCGGGCTGGTGAATGGAGAGGCAGACACAACTTATTGGTTGTAAAAACTTTACTCACGCCGCTTGTAATCACGACGCAGGTGGTCCAGTCGTCGGAACAACCACACGAGTTGCTCCAGCTGGCGGGGCCCAAGCCAGTTAATCCGTCCGCAATTCTCCACAAGCCCCTCGGCCAGAAACAGGATCACAGCCCTGTTGGGCCCTGGGATGAGTGGAGCCGGCGTGCCCTCCTCCAGGGTTCACCTTCCCCAGCTTTGCCCTTCCTATCCCTTTCCAAGGGGGTCAGGACAACATCCTCCTGGGAGGGGGATCCTGGGGTGAATATACAGACACCAGCATGGGGGGGACAGAGCCAAATGGCAACAGGACACAAAGCACTCTCAGGACTCCTGGTTCATGGCCTGGGAGAGTCACCTGCAAGGTTCAGTGTCATGGAAACATCCGGGGAGCAGCTTTACTATTCCAGGCTCAAAACCAGCCACTTTACAACATCAGCTTTATGTGCCCATCAACAGACACCAGTCCTGCCCAGAGGAACACAAAACACCTGCGCTGCTCAGTGCTGCCAGTTTGTGTGAGGGCTCATTTGCACGGATACTGGAGAGTGCTCTTGCAGCCGGGCTGAGTGCTTATAACTGATCTTCTCTGCGGGGCCTGCGGAGCTGAGCAGCATTTCCCGCTGAGGCCTGACAAGATGATCTGCCCGGCACAGCTCCTCTGGGTCCTGCTGCTGTGGGCTCCCGGTGAGAGATCACTGCAAAGGGAACAGGCTTTGTTAGCAGCACCATGCCCAAATAATACTGCTCTGGTTGCACTGCCTTTTAAGTGAATCTTGGAAAGAAGCATGCATCTCAGTATCAAACATGCCGGGACTCTAATAACTGGCCAATATTGAACACCTTCTCTTTCTTTTTCTAGCTTCCCTGGGTGAAGTTGTTCTGACTCAGACTCCAGAAACCCTGGCCGCGTCCCCTGGAGACACAGTCACCATCAAGTGCAAGGCCAGTACCAGCATTAGCAACTACATAGGCTGGTACCTCCAGAAACCAGGAGAAGCCCCAAAGCTCCTGATCTACGATTCTACCAACCGTGTCTCTGGGATCCCCGACAGGTTCAGCGGCAGTGGGTCTGGCACTGATTTCACTCTCACCATCAGCAGGGTTGAAACCAAGGATGCTGGAGATTATTACTGTCAGCAGCGTCAGAGCACCCCGATCACAGTGCTACAGACCCGCACAAAAACCTCCTGGTTACGCAGCCTGGTCCCTGTTGCCTGCAGCTGTGACTGGGGGGAGGGGGGGAGTTCATGCAAACAAAGAGCAGGAAGTTATGCAAACTCCACCTGAGCTTTTACCCAGGAGCAAGCACCTCCAAGCCCCTGCACAAAGACAGACTGATGCGCTCGGCTCCATGGGATTGCAGCTGCCCCCAGGCAAGGAGGAGCCATGCGCTGCAATAGTGCCTGAGACTGCTGCACCCACTGGAAGCGGAAAAGGAGCTGGAAGAGTATTTTTGGCAGCCAGCTAGTGGGACATCCAGCACCACAGTCACTTTTCTGGGCAAACGCCTGTCCAAATGCTCAGTGTCCCAGCCCTGCTGGATCCATGACAGCAGGTGACATGGTTCATCTGCACATCTCCCATGAGCACAGGTGATCAGCTCAGTGCCATTGACCCACAGCTACTGGCTTGTGACACCTGATGTCTGCAACCCCTGCAGCTTCAGGGCTATAGTGGAAACTTCCCCATGACATTCAGAGTTCAGGAGAAGTCTTCACTACAGCCCTAAATATGAAGTGGTCGCAGCCACCAAGCAACGCTGTGACATTTCAAACCAGTCCGCTAACCCAAAGGTCAGGAACCACGGCCTCCATGCCTGGAAGCTCCCAAACCACACAAATTAGCAACTACATAGGCAATCCTCCTACTTGCTGGGACACCAACAAATCAATCCACATTGAAAGTCAGTGCTGTTAAAATGCATCTATTATCCATGCCAGGCTTTTAGAGAGATCCAGCAATGACGGGGTTGCTGTTGTGATCAGGTAAAGGAGAAGGAAGAACAACTGCATAGTCAAGTATTTCTGAAGCTCCACTGCGGGGGAGGATGAAGCCAGCTGAGCGTCTCCATCAGCTGCTGCTTGCTCCCACATCCCCAGCTGTCCCGATGACCAAGGGTATCTCCACTGCCCCAACGCAGGGTGCGGTATTGTTCATTGGTGTCCAGGGCTCCTCACAACAAGACCCTTCTCCTCATCTCCCAGTTGCTCCCACTACAGCACACAATGCAAACCATTTCCCTGGAAATGCATGTCTCTGCTGCAACAATCCCCTGGCAAGCCCCTTCTCACCTGGGGCAGAGCCCCTCCCCACGGTCCCTGCAGCATGTGTCCCATGGTGTCCAGATCTGCTCAACTGGTCAGGACCAGCTCATGGAGACCAGAAATTGTACAAGTGCCCCTTCCGGTGCAGCACATCCATCCCCAGGGGTCACTCCCAGCCCGTGACAGCAGGAGGCAGTTGGGCTGCGCATCCTTGGGGCAAGGTAAGGCCAAACCTGCAGGGCACAGAGAGAAACCTGTGAGGAGCTGAGCCTGGGTCACAGAGGGCTGAGGGCTCCCGGCCCCGTGCAAGGGCTGCTCAGCATGGTGTGAGGACGGGAAGGATTGGATGCTCTCTGGGAGCACAACACCATCTCCTTCCCATAAAGACAGGTGCCATCATCTCCTCAGCACTTGCAAGGGCCTGCTCCCTGCCCCACAGCACTGGGGGGTGAGTGTGGGGTGGGGGGAGAGGGGAGCTGGGTCTTGGGGAGGGGGCTTGTCCTGGGGAGAGCAGAGCTGTGTGCTGAGGGCAGGGAACAGCCTTGCAGTGATCATTTGACTGAGTGGTTTTGATAATGGGCTGGACAAGGATCCTGCCTCAGGTGGGAGGTTGGACTAGGTGACCTGTAGGACTAGGGTCCCTCCCGGCCCTCCTCCTCCATGGTTGCATGGTACTATGACCGCAGCCCTCAGCCAGTGAGGAGCTGAGAGCAAAGAGGGACAATGAGAGGTCAGGAGGGGTCTGTGGCAGAATGCCACCTCTGTTTCTCCCCAAAAACTCTGCTCTGTGACCATTTGGTTAAGATGGGCCCAGCAGAGGGTACACACCTTCCCCTATCTCTTTAGGTAACCTGAGCTGGATACATTCCTGAGGGAGGGGGGAAACCTGCTCTCTCTGCCTAGGTGACTGGTATCACATACCTGGGTGAGGGGCATGGGCTCCCTGGGGAGCTAGGAACTGCCAGTCTGCCCAGCAACTAGTGATGTTCTCCTTTGTACCTAGCATGGGAGACTTATTGGGTGTGGGTCTAGATTACGTCTTGGGGTCCCCTTGGTTCAGCTGACTAAGGGAGACCCCTATTTGTGCTTCCGACTAAGAGAAGCACCCCCAAGTGCTTGAAGTGAGTCAGGTACCCTCGAGGGCTACTAGGCCTGTGTTTCCCAGGGTGCACAGAGCCAAAGTAAAGCCCATCTCTGGGTGGTGGCAGTTTTTACCCCAGGCTAGCGAGTGTGCTCCTGGAAGGGGGTTGGCCAGATGTGAGGCAACCCCGGGAGGCACTCAGAGCCTGGAAGGTGGTCAGGCACAGTGAGGTGGGTGGCTCCATGCAGGAGCACCTCGTACTGGCCCGCCACCAGGGGCCG